ATCAGTGTAAAACTCATCTTTTGTTTATTTTTCATGTTTCTTATTCTTTATTTTATAACCTTACCTATTGTTTCTTAACTTAGTTGCAAAATAATGTAGTATCTAGAATTTTTAGCGTAGGTTAAGGTATTTTTAGGAAGAGTGAATGTAAGAATGAGTGTAAGTGAAGGACAGGCTGTAAAACGGTCGAGGGAAAGTGGCCTGTACAACGTCGCGGATCCAAGATTGCAGGGCCAGCTTTCCAGAGGTGCATCCGAGTATTTGTGATGAGTGCGAGTGAGAAGAATGCTTGTGGGGGAAAGAATGATTTTTGGGAGAGAATGCCTGTGAGAGAGTTGCGGAAGCGAGAGTCGTGTGTGGCCTCCGTGCCATTGAGTTGTACTTTTTACGTGTTGTCCGTGTTGTTTCCATATTTTATTAAACACATATATTTATTCCTAGTTCTCGATTACTCAAGATCCACTCTTTCATTATCTATAATATAGTAATCACTATAATAATTATACGTAGAATGATTTATCAAGGAGTCATAAAAATGTATATTAATATCTGTTGTTAGCAATTATAAATTTTTTAGATTAACTTACCTTTTAAATTAAATTATCGGGGAATCATACAAATATTTATTAATATCTATTGTTTACAGTTATGAACTTTTAAAATAATTCCTCTTACAAATAGAATTGTAAGAAGTAAGTATATAAATTAAGGTAGTGAACTGATAAATCTAAATATATTATATCATTCAGAAGTTCAAGCAAATTTAGAGAATCGGTATAGCTACTAAAATTACCGAATTAATTCTGAATATTCCAATTTATTCTTCTCTTATATTTGCTAACACCCACTTACGATTTAAACTTACTCGGAGTACGTATTATTACTACTACAAGAAGTATGTCCTCTTAGCTGGAGTATTATATCACGGGAGTTTCTGGATCAATATAATTTTCTCATGACACTTGTGTTTATCATCTATAAAAATTTATTTATTTTTTCAAAACATTAACAGAATACTATATTTTTAGATGTATTAGTTGGACCAATGAATAATTTACCATGTTTTGTTAATTTAAGAAATTTAATATTTCCTTTCTAATAAACAGAATATTAGTGCAATTAGTGTCTGTTCATAACCTTCCAATTGTCGACATTTCTTAAGAAGAAGAACGGATTATAAGAAAAGAATAATAAATAACTTACTGGTTCATGCAATACACCCAATTCGTTATTTAACAAATCATGGAAATAAAAAAAGGAGTAATGCTGTATTGAATAGTTAATTGAAAGTGTAGAATAATCATTTTTTCCGAACAATTTTCATATGTAACAGAATCATACCCAAATCTTCTTTAGTTTCTTGTTGACGGATTATTTAATCGGGGCATATACGTGAACAGAATTTATTTATGATGAAACGAAGTAGTTTCTTAAATAAGCTTCATTTCATTGTCATATCTGAATGATTATTTAATAAATTATATCAAGAGAAATACATATTTTGAAACAGATAAATTCATTATAATCAATTCAGACAGGCGCAAAAACCAAATTCATAAGACAAACAATGAATGTTCTGAAACTCGAATTGAAGCGTGCAACTTTGAATATTTATAACAATTTAAAAAGGTGTAAACAACAACGTTTAACATAATATTAGGTCGTATCACCATATAATAAAAAACATAACACGCTAGAAAATCAGTTCACACTGAACGTCGAATTCAGTTGAACAAAACCATAAATCGAATTTCTAACCTGGTACGGCTGATACTGTGTCTGACTATGCCTCAGCACTTCTACTTAAAGTGAATATAGATCACAATATCATAGCCCTTCTAGAATGATGTGTCTCTTAAAGAATGAAGTATTAGAAACTAGAATTATACATCAATTGGAAATGCTGTCACCTTTTCCATTACATACTTTTAATTATTATTAATCAAAAAGATTTTTCTTATGTTTCGGAACATTTATAAATCGATTATTCAAACCAAACATTATTGAAACGAATAACAATATAATTTATTAATGTATTTATCATATATTATAGTATAGAGTTAATTAAAATTAATATAAAAACTTTAATATTATTAACATTTATATATAATATTTGATATTTTTAAAACTTCAGAATTAAATATCCTATGAAGCGTTTCGGGTAAGTGACTAAAATTCCATTCAATTTGACCCTTTGTAAATTGTACATAAAAAATTAAAGTTTGTAAAAAATCATTTATTACATATAAATAAATTTGTATTTATATATAAATGAGATAATATATTAAGGTAAATTATAAAGTGTAAATATGGAGCAGTATATTATATATATTATATATATTATATATATATTATATATTATTATTATTATTATTATTATTATATATTATATATTATATCAGATGGGAATCTGCATGATTCTGTTAATTTCAGCTATTGAACTTTTCATCTTCTATCTTGTTTTTTACTATATTATTGTATGCTATGTATAATATCACCTCATTGTCAGTGTTCATGAATATTAAAATAAGTGCATAATCTGTATGCAAAAATAAACAAACTACAATTTACGAAAATAGCTATTTAAAGTGACGTCCTCTACATTAAAGAAAATTGAAATAATTTAATCACAATTCTTTATTTCACCCATCTACTTCTATATAAGAAATGAATCTACTCAATTTGACTCATATTGTAAATAAATTTATTTTTTAGTATTACCACCCTAAACATTATCCAACCTTATAATTATTTATAAAATTTATTTACTAGTATTAATCCTCCTTAAATATTATCAATGATAAACAATTCTAATCGTCATCCACTCACGACACAATATTTTTATATTAGGAACGTATACAAGAATATAGGATGTTACATCAATTGCAAATTTAATTTAAATTGAATGAGATTTTCATGTAATAATATATGCAATTACTATGAATAAGAATTAACTGACAAAATTGCGGTAGCAAACACAAGAAACACACGGAAGTTAAGAAATATGCTAATTTCCTCAAACGAATTCCTGAAACAAATCACAGAAGTTATTAACGAAGAAAGCAACGGAGATTGGTAGACTATGAACACATTCCATAAAGCGACGTTACAAACAATATAAACCTCGGAATACAATTAATTAATCTAAACAGACGAGAACAAGTTGTTCTTGAAAGATTCGAAGTGGAATGAAATTCCAGCGAATTTCCAGTTTCTTAATTTTTACAAGAAATTACCAACCAATTACTTTGATTGCTAAATACAACTTCTATTGTTAATAATCTAGAAAATTTATAATATTAGTCATTTAATTAATATTATAAGTTAGTGAAATTTCCTTTCTGCTTCCTTGGTGACTTTTCTCAGAAAAATATATGTAATATATAGGAAATACAGAAACGAAAATTAATCGAAAGAAATTATTTAAAATTATTATGTTACATGAAATTATGTTAACTACAGAAAATAACTAATAAGTAATAAATAACTAACATAAATTAAACTAAAAATATTAAACAGTAACAATTATTCGACAATTTTAAACGTTTGAAAGGTAGAAAATTACATCTGACGATGGAAACTATGTCAATTAGTGATCCACGGACTACATTATAAAAACTTGATTAAATATAATTTAAATGTAATTTTATTAGCGTTTACCCATGTGTCTTAATTATCTACCTTTTGCTGGTTAATACTTTGAAAAAATATCCTTAAATTCCTGAACTATTTCTATTAATCACTAATATTTCATTGTCCGCATTTCAAACTATCTTTGATATATGCTCTTCCTCTCCAGGAAATATAATTTTAGCCTTTACGTTTAACTCGTATCATGAAAGTTCATAAGAATTAGAATTATGTGAATGATCACGCAATTCTTGAATACTAAATAGTGTGCAACTTACAACACTAAATTGTCATTGAAATTAATAAAACATTTATAATTACTTTTTAAAAATTATGTCAAAAACGGTATACTTGTAAATAAAGCAAAAAAATGGAAAATTTAAAAATGACATTTGAAAATATTCTATGATGTTTACGTTATAGTACACAAATAAATACTATTCGAAATTCGACAAACAAAATATGCAAAACACACTTTGATGTAGTTTAATTAATCGGGTTAAATACTATGTGGGCCATCGATAGGCCATTTGGGAATCATTGCAATAATTTTCTATAAAAAGAAAAACTGTTTTGCCATAAGAAGCCTCTTCATTTACGTATTCTTTTAACAGAAGCATCGATTCCATTTTGCACTGTATATTGCACATTACCCTTCTCTTCAAAGAGTGCAAGAAAATCGTTCGATCTAGCCAATACAAAATTCTGGCGTTCAAGTATCGTGATAAGGATATTTTTCTTATTTATTTTCCCGAATTAAGTCTGAGTTATAAAAAATAAATAGAAGGAAACGACCAGGTAAGGATCAGATTGCTGATCCGTTGCTCAATTTATTTCATCTTCTCACAGATGACATCAATGTTAAGGGTTAACCAAAGAAGTTAATCCTGATTTATAAAAAATTAATATAAGGAAACAACCAAACAACAGTCAGTTCGATGATCCATTTCTGATCCTCTCAAAGATTACACCAAAGTTCAGAATTGCAAAGGAATTTAGCTCGATCTATAAATAATTAATATAAGGAAGCAAGCAGACAAGCATCAGATTGCTAATCCACTGCTGCAATTCATTTCATCTTCTCAAAGATGACATCAGCGCTGGTCTTAATTTCCTGATTAAGCAGTGCAACTTCGACTTTGAACTTTTTCATTTTGAATCGCAAGAAAAGAAAACTCATGTGCAAATTCTGGACCAATAGTTCTGTAAAAACGTAGAGAACGACCTGCCCTCTGATCCCGAAGGAAAGGACACATCCGCCGACGCAGGTGCGCGTTCGAAAGGCGCGAGAAACAGCAGCCCCACCCCCGGTGCACCACCATGCTCCACCATGTACCGGATCACATCTATAAAAGCCTTCGTCGCGCGGCCCGCTGGCTTCGAGTTTGCTTGCCGAGCCCTTCGATCGGGATCTCTCGCAGCCCGAGCGTGGATTTTCGATTTTTTCGTGAACTTGTGCGACCACCGGCGAAACCCGCTCGCGACCACCCGGCTGTCTTCCGGTTTGATTTGATTTTCACGTCGAAGGTGATCCCATTGCAATCGAATCGCGGATCTTTATGCGTCTATGGGAGATTTGGAAGTGACTAAATTCGCGCACAATGATCGCAACTTATGTGAACAAATATGTAAAATATCCGAAGCACAGTGGTTTCTGTAATATTCGTTAAAAAATCGTCCTATGCCGTAATTCTATATTTTTCTAAGTATGTTAATGAAAATTTGAATTTGCATAAAGATCCGAAGTTTCATTGTAAGAAATAACTCCGTCGAGGCGTTAGGAAGTAAAAAGTTGACGGCAGTGTGGAGTTTTAAGGAGATAAGCGTGTTTCATTTTTTAATGAAATCTTTGGAACTGGTTTGAAAAGTTGTGTCGTCTTGAGCGTTGAATGCGTAGAGTTGTGTGTATATTATGTATAATCCTTGCTTCTTATTCGTTTCTTTGTGGTTTCGCTTTTAATGAAGTTCCTTAATTGTTTTAAGTTTGATGTTAATTTGAAAACAGGTTTTTAGTATTGTTTTAATAAGTATGTTACACGGTTGTGAGCTTATTTCATTTCTTTTTGTTAACTGTACTTAAAAATACAGAAACTGATGTAAAATCTGAGAAATACAATTATTGGGTCATCCCATAAATAATTCGGTTTTTTATGTTTCTTTTATTTTTAAAAATAGAGACAGACCAAACTTTGTGTAAAGTAATTTAAATATATATATATATATATATATTTATTTATTTATTTATTTTGTTTATTTTCAAAAATTAAAGAAATGTAAAAAACCGTATTATTTATGGGATAACCCAATATGTGGAATACATGAATTCATTTTTAGCTTTTAATATTTTTATTTGTGTTTATATTTCTATGATTATTTCTCAGTTACTACAATGCTTCTAAGATTTTTACATGAATGTTTCACATTCCCTTATTTTCCTTCCAAATTATTTGACAAATTTAAGCATTCAACATTTAAATGCCAATTATTGACAAATGCAATTGCACAGTGTATTCGTACAAGTGTATTCATCACAAAATTAACAATTTTTAACACTTTTTATTGAAACGTCTAATAAAATGAAGAAATTAGATAGAGGATAATAATACGTCACTATGAAGTATTGACCAACTAGGACATTTAAATCCGCGAAGTTCTTACCTCAACTTCACTGGGAATTATCTGTTAAAGATGTTTCCTCCGATCGCACTGTGCTTTTTAGTGAGGGTTAATTACATTTTTTGAAAATAACGAAACGGTTGTATGCTTCAGTACCTCTATTACGTTTAACACGAAGGTTTACGAATATTTATTGTACAGTTTGTTCTGTTGTTCGTAGAAAAAGTGAAGTTCGTTCATTTCGATCTTGGAAATTTGAGATTTAAAAATAGCCAATTAAGATACATAATTGTATAATTGCATCAATCAAAGTTGACATGAACATTTACCGGATAATGTTTATAAAATGCAATAAGCGTTAAATTGACGCGTTTAGGAAACTTAGTATTAATCAGTTTAACTGGAAATTATAGTTTCGCGAAATACATTGTTTGCCTTATGTTCCTTGGCACTACTATCTGTAGCTAAAAGATAATAATATTTGAGAATTCTGTTGTGCTTCTTTCCTTTTTACTTCGACCAATTTTGTTTTCAAACGTTTTCCACAAATATAATGATTTTACTGATATTAAAAGAAATATGCAACTTCCTACACTTAATCAAATTTACTAGCTACAATTAATCTCAATTCTAGATGTATCTATTTTGTTAGAAATAACGCTAATATTTATTTGAAACATATTTATATTTGTTTTTAACTTGGTAATGTTTTTATAACTTAAGCAATTATTTTTAATAAAACGTATATCTATTATATTATTTAATAAATTGTATATAATTCTGTGTTAATTTTCTTGTGAATTAATTGCAGAGATAAAGAAATTATACAATAATGTTCTCAACAATAAGGGAACATGATAGATAATTTTTCCACGAAACGTACACGAAACTGTTACAATATTCATACTTTTATACTAAATATATTTTTTTCATTAACTTCTTGTATTAATAGTCTTTTTCTGATTCAGAGTAAACCGGTCACATGGCGGTCGCCTCCGAAAACTCAGTGACGATTTTTATACGCACTTGGACTTTTATGATTATTTTCTGCTTTGCGGGTAATGCAGTCGGTAAGTTGAAATTTTGATTCTATCGAATTTAACTTTATTAATTCAGTAACATTAATGAATAATTAGCCTAGCAAGTTATTCCACAAAACATTGTATTAGGTCGTCCCATAAATGCGGTTTTTTATATTTTTGTTTTTAAAAATAAAGATAAACAAAACTTTTTAAAAATAATTATAATGTCTAGATAGACAATTTATATATAATGAAGGGGAATATGTTTTAGATTAAAAACAGTTTTGCTCATTTTTATTTTTAAAAATGAAAGAAATATATAAAACCGCATTACTTATCGAATGACCTAATAATGTATTTTTTGTTACTTATAAACAGGGCATGAATATTTCATTACATCCACGTACAGTCTTATTACATTCAGTGCACTAATGTAATTAACTGATATTTATATAATGTAAATCGTGAAAATATATTAACTGCTGTTGCAAAATTTTCTTCTTACCAGATTATACTTGTTCATTAGCAAAGATATGTTAAACTTTCTGTAGATTTAATCACCATGAATCATGGTAAAACATAAGCAAGTTTGATAAATGTATCCATTAAATTAGATGAATTCATTTCACTGCTCCTTCTGAAATAATGTATGCAGGGCGAAGCAGATATCCATGAAAAAACTCGAAAGAAACATATTGCATGAAAAAATAGAAGAAAAACATTGAAGAATATCTTTTTTCGCGTGAAATTTTATTTATAAACGGAACCAAAACATTCATTAAAAATTATGCGCGTTTTTAGTGTAACTCAATAATGTGTCTTCCACTATTATTAAAGTATAAACGTTTTAAATTTTAATTTTTAAAATTTTAGTAGCATTAATCTTACGCTATTTTTAAAAATAAATTATATCATAATATCCTTACTATTTATTGTCATTTACATACTTAGAAGTAATCAGCAGTAAAAAAAATGATACACAATAATATATTAAATTTACTTTAATATATATTATTATAAATTCGAACAAATATTCAAAATATGTATTTATCACCCAATATTTCTTTGTCTTAGAAATTTTCAATAAATTTTACACACTCGAGACTTTATCATTTTTAATGATTAAAACAAAGTGTCAGATTTTGTTAAGTTCATCTTCATTTTAACACTGTTCCACAGAAAAATAATTAATTCAGGTATTGTATGAAGAAAATATGACAGTCGAAATGAAAATTCATATACATCTTTTTTCCTTGACATTTTCTTATTTATTATTACTTAAAAATTGATTCTGTTTAATTACACCACGAAGTACGTATCATCCTTTACTTAAAAGGTGAAACCATGTTACTTAAATAGCCATAACTTTCCTCATCTATCTTTTAATGTAATTCTCTGCTCAAAGAGATCTTGTAAAGAATGTTGAAGGGTGTTTTCTGTACATAGTGCTATGATAACAGAAATCAAACATTAAATTAATCTTTCTAACTTAAGAAATAATACAAACATCTATCTTAACTTCCATGTACATTATTTATATTTAATCTTACATACATACAGTAGTTTCATAAATCACTAGCGACTTATTGCAAAGATTTATTTCAGAAAATCTTACTCGAGGATTCCTGCGATATGTTATTTCAAACCTATATAAAATCCAAAGGTCAGAAATCTTTAAAGTCATAAAAACAACTCGACATGTGTTATCTTTTACAATTGCAAAATAAAAAGGATTATTTTTAAAACATTGATTATATTTTTCTTTCCTTGTTCTCGTGGTTTTACGTTACAATAATATTGCGTTTATTCAGTTGATAAATTAATGTGTTATAAAGTGTTTTAAAATAAAAGTATCAAAGTAAATGTGTTTCTTATGCGGAACCATTGTCATCATAGAAATCTTTTTTGAAAAATTCATTACACTTTGTTTAGTAGATTACTCTGTAGAATCTCATTACTAAGGATGAAAAATTGATGTCGTAAAAGAAGTTTTGTTCGTCTTTAATCATTGCAAACGATCAACTCATCACTTTCTTCGTAGTGTGAAAAATGTTCTTTTACTGTATAAACTGTTGTTGCTAGATTTCAACCCTTTTAGACGTAATGCACTATTTTCCATTAGGCTGATCGTTTCTCAATGCAGGTTTAATACAGTAATCTACAGTTTACTATTCTACTATTCTTCGACCAATCTCTCAAATGGGGATGAGAGAACAGTGTTTATAATTTGTAATGGACGCATCGTACGGCTATTGCGTTAGTGAAAGTGGGAAATTTTCTTCGCATCAATGAGATTAAAGTCAATTGTACCGGAGCACATAAAAAACACATTAATCTTGCGTAATGGATCACACTCAAATCAAGTTGACATAGCAACTACGTAAATACTGTTTCCATTTTTCTAACGATAAAGATAGAATAAACTTCGTTAGCGAACGTGATTTGTATACAAATTATTCGATTATATGAAATTTGTATTACCAACCTTATAAATATTTTAATTAATTTTTGTTTAAATTATTTTTCTTTGTAGATAAATTTAAACAAATGTAAGAAGTTAAATTTCTTTTAATCCAAAGGCATTATGCGTAATTTATAAGTATAACTAGTTTATTCAAAATAAATAAGTACAATTTATATGAATTAGATAATTCACTTAATCTCTTTTTATTAAAATTTTATTAAAAATTTTATTCAAATGTACTTTCAATAATACGATTTACTTATGAATGGTCTATATATCTCTAATCAGTTCGAAAACAAAATGCAAACTTTCCAAAAAATTAAAAATGCAAAAAATTTAAAAACTGTGCAAAATAACCCAATGCCAATATGGATGTAATTATAATGGATAATCTGGTTTCCTAGCTTCGTTAATTGTGAGACTTTAATTAGTTTTGTAATGAAGACTTTTACAATGTACTGCGACGGAGAATGAGTTGTATTGGTATAAAATTATATTTTCACTACAATTTAATTTTATCAAAAGGAAAGACAATTGAAATTTTATTCCACCGTTCATATTAAAAAGTTAAACATAATAATGAATTTATAATCAATTATTTAATTTTAAATTCAATTTCACATGCATACAAATTCAAGAAGATATTACGAAATATTTTTAAACATAAATTTGTATATGATTTTAAAATATGCAATCCTAGATTAAACAATTTTTCTAATTTCTCTTTTAGATATTCCATAATTGCTTAAGCACAAATTAAATACCAAAAATCATTTAGCCTTTATTCAGTCACAAATATAACGTTCATATTAACCATTCTTTATTTCATTCTTCACCTTTAATTGCCTTAAACCATTTTAAGGTGTTTTGATTTTTCAATAATTTTTTCATTACGGTCACCCGAAGCATCGGTTCTCTCTGTGCTAAAGAACTCGACTGTTTCCTTCATGGAATATCTATAACAGGAAAATAATTAAAAGTTCTTTAATATTAATATCGTCAATACCAAGAGGCCTTATTAAAACGTTGGCTTGATTTCACAGAAGCTTCAAAATCACCGGGAATTGTATGAAAAACAGTTACAATGGATGATGACTTTATTTATGACACGCAAAATTACACGCAGAAAAGTAAGTCGCGACGCCCAACATTATATCGTAGTGTATATAAATGTGAGAAAAAATCCATCGATTAATCCTGTCATATCCCCACGCAGGAAGTAATTATACGCATTAAGAGTCCATCACCTGACCCGAACCTTACCCCAGGGCATGAACTCATCAAGCGTGTTATAGATCGCCAAAGTTCCGCAGAATTCAATAAAACTCGCGATCGCGATTCATGGTATAATATAGACGCGTTAACACTTTCGCTCGTGCGTCGATTAAATTTGAAATAAGATTCTCAACGGTCCTTTAATGGTCCATATTACCGGCAGGGGGTGATGAATTTCCTGGGTGACGTATCGAATGAAACGAATTTTGTTGAAAGTACGAGGTGTAAGGACAGTAGTGTGATCGATTTGAAAAATCTTGACTTTTTATTTTCTGCTTTATTAACCCTTAGCACATATGATTTATTTCACAACTGTGCTTGATAAAGCTAATTTATCGTTAATAATTCATGAGAAAAAGAAATGAATTTGTTATTTACTTTAACACTACACGTGCCATGACTAGTCAAATAGCAGATTTTAAAATTTGATTTAAAATTTATTTCAAAATTCGTTTCAAAGTTTGATTTAAAATTTGATTTAAAATTCTGCATCCTCTTTTGCCCATTTAACTTTGTATCAATTCTGATATTGTCCAATTAATTAGTTTTTCAAATTTCGTCTCTTTTCATATCTTTTTTTCCTTTGTTTTGTAACCAATTATTTGACTGTTAAGGTAGGAATATATATATGGATAAAGAGCTGTCAGTGTTAATGAATATTTAATTTATATTATATATTAATTTATATTTCAAAGAAGTAAATAACATCTTGATTTACGAAATACAATTTAAAATTGCCATTGCAGAGCAACGAGCTCAGGAAAAACTTTTTCAGCTGTACATGGGAGTTCAAATACATATTTGTTTATAGAGACAAGATATTTTGCTCGCGCTTCGATTATTTGATTGAAAAAATCAACCAACGGCTATCAATCGGAAATACTGCGTTTCATTTCCTGTTTATAACATCTCCCTGAAAAAATTGTTTACTGTTTTATTCAGTATGGTTAACATTGTTAAAAGATATTCTTCAATGTTTGTTTTACGTTGCAATTTATTTGCAAAACGTCTTCCATACGGTGTGTGATAGAATATATATATATATATATATATATAAAGATTTGAAATCAAATTGTGTTTTAATTATTCTATTGCATTCAATTCGTACAGTATTTAATGTCTTTCTTGTACTTTATTGTTAACTCTAAAAACAGCTTATTGTTAATTTTCGAACAATGGATGTTTAGAGAAAGATAAAATACATGGAAAAAGTGTTTCCATGAAATTTTTGTTACTTCCCTTCCGAAGTTTTTTAACGCCTTGCCATACGTATTATTGGACTCAACTGTTTCTGCAATATTGCTACAAC